GGGAGGGGGGGTGGTAGGTTGGAAAATTGGGGGAGGAGGGAGGAAACAGGATATAACTTTTTCACTCGCGGATAAAAAGTTTAGGGTCGTGCCATAAAAATGGGTGGTCGGGTAACTGGAAGCTGAACTTTTTTTTGACCCAACTAATTGGGACTACTGGAGGATGACAAATCCAAGTAAATTATATTTCAATAAATATTCATATTAAAAGTACATCGACACTGAATGATGGAACTGGCCGGCATTGAACATTTCATGTTGTTAGCATGCAGCACATACATGTACATAAAAAAGACCAAAGCAGCAGTAATTAGTCATTTATGTTGACGAGAATGCTGTTAAATTTACCCTGACCTTAAAGACACAGCTGTTTTGTCTGATTTTGCTGTTGAGGAGCAGTTGGACCTTGAGGAGATAGGGCTCTTACATGTACGTTCCAATTACTGTACGGTACATGTACACATGTACATACATGTAGGTGGGACAGGCCCAACTACAGCACAGAGTGCAAGGGCATGTTTGTTTTTGCGGATCGTGATCAGTGATTTGTCATTGTTTTCCGGACAGCAGAACTGCTATTGAAAGTTGCTGACTGTTGTTGGGCCAGCCCAACTCCGATAGTTAGAGCCTGACGCGGTCATCATGAGCAAGTTGACATGTGGTGTGAGCACAAAGCATCATGGAGCATGTCCTCTGTCTCATGTACATGTATGGTAGCGTGTATTTGAGTATTTTGAGAATCCTACTTATACAATCTCTTTATCAAGGGGCTGAGCGTACGAAATAATTTTGTATTTTTCAATCACTGTAATGCTTCAGATAGTTCTTTTGTTAAGAAATTTTGAAAGGGATTTTGTATTGGATTCAGAAATGTTAAACCTCGTCATAAATCAACTCTGTGATGCCACACCTTTATGTATTCCAAACAGCGCTCAGCTGCGTTGTGTGTGAGCTTGTACAACTGCACATTGTGCAGGGTATATTTTGGGACCGAGGAATTAAGTTTGCAAATTTGCCACATAAAGTGTTGCTTTCAACTAAGTCAGATGTCTGAAATGAAGTCCAAGGTGTCTGAAAGAAGTGGAGGTACATGAAAATAACGTTTACCCCTCTGGTGAAATCTTCATCCCACCCCCATAATGATAGAAGGGCCATATGTTTCCAAACCAATTCAGGACTCATCTGTATGTGGGTCATTCCAGAAATGAGGGGTCCATTTTTTCTGTGTCCCTGTCACATTTGACATATGATATTGTAAGTTCAGAACACATTTTCTAATTTCCAAGAGGGATGAATAATGCAAATTACCTGCCAAACAAATAGTAATAGTTTGAAATAAATTATGGTGATATTTTCATGTCAAATAATAAAGGTCAGATGTAACAGGGACCCGTACACCGATATGTCACACTTTTGGACCCCTAGTTTTTGAAATTACCTGTGTTACTTTGATTGAATTGGCAATTATATGCCAGTGCCGATGGTGAGCTGTAGACCAATTGTGCATGACTTTTCACTTTCCACGTACATCATGAGACGTGCATACCTCTGTGAATATTCTTGTGCTTCGTTGATGATAGAGACATAAAGCAAGAATGATACATGTACCGGGTACGTACCGGTATTTGTACATGTACATGTGTATACAAGTATGTACATGATTTTCCTCGGCAACCCGTGCACAACCTGTGTACTTGGCAAAAGCAACCCAGCAGTCGGCAGATGGTTGTCTCTGGAACTGGTCCATTACAGTAGGGCAGCCTGACGTTTAGCATGGTTAAAGTTTTGAGTCTGTCTCTCTCAGTATCAAGCCATACTCTGCACCCTGACTCATGCCGTTCAAGTCGGACCTTCACCATTCACAGATGTCGAGTTCGCTTTACAAGTCACAAGAAATTTAGTCAACAGTTGATTAGATTTCAAATTTTCAACTTTAGCATTCCGTTCCTAGACATCAGTTTCCAGGGGGTGATTTTTTGGGGGGCTGTTTTAATTGCCAGCGCGCAATCAGGACCCATGTACATGTACACGACCTCTGGGCGTAAAAGTCGGCCAGAAATAGAAACGTCGCTAGCTTTCTGCATGCTGGTATTTATGGCAACCAGCCCGGTTGACCTAGCTACAAGATGTCTCAATCTGATTGGACGGCATGAGCCCACAATGTATCTTCAATACTGAAGAAAAGGGAACTACCATACACTGTACATGTATAATAAGCCGTAAGGGATCCCCTGGAAAAATATTGTTTGCCTCCGAATGCAGGCATTAACGTGCATACTTACTGATACTGTTATCATTGTGGCATAAAAGTGGATCCCCAGGACATGATGAATGTGCTGTTTCAATGAATCTGCACCAAGTAATTTTGAGAACTAAGGAGACATTAAGACATCTCAGCCAAATGTCGTTTTATTTTTGTTCACAGAGTCATACCTGTACATGTTGAGTTCTCTGGAACGGTGGTTTACGAAGAATTTCATCTGGGATAAAGCTGCTTGAAGTTTCCATATCCAAATATTCTTGATTTTCTTGTTTTATTTATTCTGGACATGGAGTAAGGCTTCATTCAACAGTACCGGTATCAGCGGCATAATGGCATTGCACAATGAATGCATCAATGTCTGTTCACTACACATGAACATGTACTAGAGTACCTGTGCATGTGTGTGTTGTGTGTACAGGCACATGTACCTGATTGTACTGTATACATGTTGAAAATGTCATTGGTGTGTTCAGCGACCTGGGCTGACCCCATCTCTTGGAATTGGAGGTCTTGGTAGTGATAGGCTGCCATCAGTATCCATTACAAAGGAGTGTGACCCTCTAGATCAAATGCTGAAGAAGCAGATTAACATTTGACATGCTGGTGCTGTTATGGATTTTCATACACCTTACCATCGTGTACATGTACTATGTGCTTTCTAGGTGCTGTGTCCTGGGCCATCAAGCTAATCACAGGGAGCATAAATTTTCTGATCACAAATGCATACAGTATAGGACACCAACGGAAGAAGAAGTCACTTAATGTGTGTTTATACCGATTGTTACCAGCACAGTTCCAACACTAAGCAATGTTGTATTCTGTGTAGTAGGCCCCTGTGATCGTCTGGATGTATCACTTAAACATGACCGTACTGGTACCTCTTGCTGCAACCATAGAGGAAGGAAATGTTGGAGGATTGAGGCCTGTTCGGGTCAAGCATTCTTCTCCAGTACAGCTGCTTAAATGATCAGCTTGATACGTAAGGCTGAACTCCATTCGTGTGAGTTGCAGCTTGTACACATCAACAGAAATAGGACACAATTTATATCAGTATTTTTCTCATACTTCAGGTTGTTTCACCAAATTATTGCTATTATTATTATTATTTATGGTTTATTATGTTTGTAGCAGACAGCCCAAGGGCTGACAGTGTACAATTACAAGATAAAACTGAATTAAAAGAAAAGACTAATGAATATTATATTAATGTTACTTGAACTATAGGCCTATACAGTAAAACTCAACACATACATGTATAAAAACTTTCACAGACACATAACATAAAATATGAATGTACAATCAAACAACCAGCCAACAAGAATTTTAAAAACATTTAACATGAAAAAACAAAATATAAGATCACAAAGACATCTACATACAATGATACATGTTTGTAGAAAAAATGTGGCAAAACAAGTTGAATGATTGCAAATAGGGGTACCAAACCACAGAACAAGGTCAATCCAATCTCCTATGCCATTAGTTTTATCTGAAAAGCATAGGCTGGTGTCAAGGTCCTAAACATGTAAAGTGCTTGTTTTCCAACTCACTTTTTACCAGCTTCAAGTACATGTACATGTATGGGCAAGACTGCTTTGTAAAAAGTAAAGTACGTATATTCGTTATGCACATGTGACTGTCAAAGACTTTTGATTTGTAACAAAGGTCAGCATGTGTCGCATCTGCTTTGATACCCCTCTGAATCTCACAGTTAGCTTTGTGAAGTCAGCTCTTTGTACAGCCCAGTGGAACACCTGCGTGTGGTTGTGACGGAAAAAACTTGTTCTGCAAATAACTGAAAAACTGAATCAAACCACAATAATAGCAGAAAATGTCTAGACTCTGACATAGTGTTATCAGCTAGCGTTGGGGAACTCAATCACCACGTTTACACTTGATCCTACAAAAAAGGATTGGATCGGAAAGAGCAATCAAGCGAGGGGAACAGATCCATGCTACGTTTACACTGGATCCTGATCCCGCTTGGCATCGATGAAGCTCTGCAACCTCAGGGCAAAGGTTATGGGAACAGTTCACTGATTATGCGCACTGGAGCAAAACCCATTTATACCCTGCTTTTTTGAGATGGGGATTGACCTTAGAAGTAAACATGTCAGATAAGCCAAATGAAACCTTAAACATTGAAAAATGGGAAAGTGGAAGGTTTTGGAGGAGCGATATGCAGCGGTAATGAAATAAAAGTCAGAAAGGCCACGCAGAAAGAGAATGGGAATGGGCAAGACCAGTTTACTACCAACTCACAGTACAAAGCACACAGGCTTAATTGGGAACCAGCGTAATGCTGGTTACGTACACGGCGTCTGGGCCAACAGCGTATGTATGGTATGTGTACAATGTCATGTACGTAAACATGACATGTAGGTCTTCACAGCGACACAAACATGTTTTTTACGCGCGCTTCAAGACTTAGACCGGATGCAGTTACATCAACTTCCAGGATCTTATCCGGATCTGATCCGGCTTTGCGTTTACACTTGCAAATTGATCCCTCGCGCAGGATCTGAACTGGATCTGATCCTTCCCGAGAGGAGGATCAGATCTCGGGATCAGGATTGGATCCTGCATTGCGTTTACGCACGTTTTTGATCCGGATCTGATCTTCCTTGCCGAATCAAGTGTAAATGCAGTGACTTTGTTAAAATCATGTTCAGGGCAAGTGGAGGCAAAATGCATGTACAGTAGATGTACATGTACTTGTATTAGATTTCATGTCTGATGTCTGAATGCTGCTCTTTCTTTAAAAGAAATTATGAAGAGCTTCTTTCGATAAACCTCTCAACCATCATTGAGTTGATCTCTGGCGTTAAGTCTCTGTCACATCGCACTTACCAAACTATACTCTCTGGTAAGACTTAAGCAGTCAGAAAGGTTAACCTCATTGATTGGTGTACACACCTTCCTGTGATGTCGTCAGGGGAAAAACGTCAATGTTACATCGGTTTGTGAACAAAAAAATCCTGCATATTTTAAAAGTTGTTCTGGCCTAAATTTCCTCGTCTTTGATGACTAATTGTTGTGTAAGCATAAATCAAGAAGCAAGCAATCAATCGTTCATAAGTGTTTGCAGTGTGTTTATTCAGGGTTGACAATTTGAGGAGAAAACCTACGCATTAAACTTTGTCTTCCCTAGATGACATCGCAGCAGCAGTGCCCAGTTGTCCAAGAGAGTGTTGGATTTAACCAAGACGAACTCAAACATAGCACAGTGTTAAAGAAAAACTGTGTCTGAGAAAATTCTTTGCAGGTATACTTTAATGCAGGTTGTTTATATATGTAAGGCTAGGCTTCATCTACCCTTTGCCACATACACGTATTTGTCGGTCTAGCATGGCTGCACACAATGACAGAGCTCTTCATTCACTTTAGAATTTTAATTAAATGTGGGTGTGTGTCTCATACATTTGTGGGATTATATTTCCACTTGTTGTTCCATATCCCCGGATCTACTGATACTGTTGAGTATCTACTGTCTTGTCTTTCATGCAAAAACACTGTAAAGTTATTGTATGCAGTTTTCAATTAAAGAAACTTCATTCTTCTAAAACTATTATAAATTCATCATATTTGAATTTGGCATACTGTGAGAAGGAACATGTTTTGAACATGCAACTTTGTGAATTCATTGCATACATGGAGTTCATTTTTAAAAACGTCAGGTAAAATTGTGAAATTTCCCGTTCACAACTGTGATTAGGACTACGGTGTGTGCATATTACGTCCTCTGCTTTAAGTCCGATCTCCTTTGTTGGCTTTGCTGTTTTTTTTTTGGGCAAGAAAACTGTTTGGGTTCCTTGAAGGAAATCTGCAAGGGTCACCAGACGAGAGGTGTCGGGCTATGCTGTTATGACTAACGGCACTTGACTGTCTAGACAATAGGCATGAATGAGGGCTAAGTCATCTGATCAGCAAGCCTTGACCTTATTTCATTGTCCTTCCCATGGAAAATTCACTTTTTTTCCCCCCGAGACACGGAAGCTAGACAAGCAGGTTTTTCAGACTTAACCTATAAGCGTACGCTCATGTACACTGTTGGACAGCGTACTGTATATATGCCCATATTTTGGATCAGCGCTTTTGCCTGTGTCATGTACACAACCTTTTAGGATGAAACTGTGAATGCGAGTCAAGTGACCACTTTCTTGGAGATCAGTAAATGTTGATTGATTCAGATGTTCACAAACGGTATGTTTTGGCAGCACCCATAATTAGGCTTAGTTGTACATGTATATTGTTGGGCAGGATTCAGAAGTTTTAAATGTGCATTTGACTGAGTGTGGGTGCATGGGAAAACTGCATTCAAATATGATCAAGAGTTATGCGCGAGTATTACATTATCCAAGGAAAAAAAAACGAAGGTTTTCAATTATACTGGTTTGATATTTTGATGAACAAAATTTGTGATTGATCATGTGTGTGTTTGTGCCTGACCAGAGTTGTGCATTTTGCTAAAAGTTACCACAAAAATACTTGAGTGGGCATACGCATAAACTCTATTTATTGGTCCTTACAACTTAGAAGTTAAGCTTTGTTGGCATCTCACAGATGTGATGTTGACTCATGTTGCAAACATGATCCATGCAAGAGTGTCCAAACCAGCTGCTGGTAACTTGACAAGGCCATATCAAACCCCCTTCTGCATACTTTGATACTCTTGTGTACTGGTAATCATGTTGATTGCAAAGTGGTATACGGGATGGTATGGGATCACAGTCCGGCCGCTTTGAAACTTGAGTGCAGGTGCATGGACAGGATGGTTGGGTTTGTTTGATGAGCAGGCCAGACCATCAGAATTAATTTGCCATGAATGACCCGCATGTATCAGAAACAAAATGCAGCTGTAAACAAAACTTGGGTGGGCTACTTTATCAGGCTGCTTTTATGCATGAAAATCTACTAGTCCTGCCACTTATGAGGGGCTTTACGTCATGCAAAAATGGAAGGTCTGTTTGAGCGTGGAGGCTTGTGTCCTTCCTCCATGGTTTGAGAGGTGCATTTGCGGAAGTTTGAATGGACATTAGATACAGAGACGTGTATGGTAGTGGCTCATTTTCCATGAATCTTTAGATTCTAGATGCAAGAACCCGGTTCAAGTTGGAAAACTACAAACCAGTCTGTCTTTCTTTCATCAGTGAGGGCATTCTTCAACTCAGGGCGGATAGTTCCGCAGCATCATGACTTCTGTCTCAATTTAACCATCACCTGTCTCAAACATTTTAACATGTAGGCACTGTAAATGGGTGACAGTTACATGTCTAGATTGGTCTGTGTTTTTGGTAATTTTGTTTGCCCACACACTGATGATGTGTATTCATAACACTGTATACTCAGTGTTTGTCCGAGAGCTTGCGATGAAAATCACAAGCTTTCTATGGTCTGTGTCATTTGAAAAATATGCATGCCAAGCTGTGACCAGGTGGGTTATCGTACCCTTTCCTTTGTCTTTCATTTCAGGCGTTACACGTTTGATGCTTTCTTTCAACTCCAATTTTTCTTTTTCTTTTCCCCCCTTCCCCGGTCACCTGACAGAAAACCATTCTCCAAACCATCAGAATGAGGAGATGGATACCAGTGAGGCCAGCATCGACACATCAACATCACAAAGTAAGCCACGTAGGCACCGTTGAACATTTTGAATTGCTGTGTTGAAAGTGTGACACTTTCTTGTATCGACAGCTTTCCCCAGAAGAAAATCTTGAATGAGAAATTGATTTAAGCTTGCATATTTTTGCTATCGGCACATTTTTTTCTAATCATATCTCTATTATATTCAAGTTTAAACAAAGCAAAATCTGCCTGAATTTATTTCTCTCAGCATTTCCCAACCTTCAAAACACTGCAGCAAGAAAAACATCCTCCATGTAAATTTGTCCCCTCAAAAATCGTTTGATCTTTATTTTTATCCAGATTTAGGAATTCATATTATCAAGTGCCAGAGGCTTCATTTGTCTGTTCTGTTTTTTCAACGTTGAAATTCCCCAAAGTAAAAAAACAAAATCCATATATTACACACATATACTACCTGCAGTGTATCCCATGTTTTTCAGAGAATGTGGGTTCCCCTGAACACTTTAGTTCACAGTTTGGCTGGCCGCTGACCCTCCCTTTTCCCTTCAAACCAACATGCGTTCCCCCATAAATCATATTCGTCCTTGGATCCATGATAGATGATGCTCTATGTGTCAAGCCACCAAGGGGGGAAAAGACCCATGGGCCAAATGTGTCTACAGCTCTTCCTCTCTGAGGGCCAGCTGTGCTCAGTCTTACCAAAGGGGAAACCACTCCGAGGTCCAGACATCTACACGTGTGGCCCCGTCTGAAGGCTTATTGTGCAACTTTTTTGGGGGGTTTGTGAGTGAGGGATATCCCCTTACTCTCCCCAAAAAATCTTAAAGAAGAACAACACGAAAGAAAAGGAACAAAGAGGAAACAAACAGAAATAGAAAATTATTTCATTGATTGAAAAATAATCAGAATATTAAAATAATGGAAACTTGCATGTACATGTACGTGTATGAACAACACAAAGTACAATGGAGAAAAAATTACATGAAATACGGTTTATTTGTATCTTAAGTGAAAAGAAAGTCAGACGTTTATTTTGATACATGAGAAATAGAACAGTAATGAAAAATGGAGGGAACAGGTAAATTGTGAGTGCTAAAAAATCAAGTAAGAATAAGTTGAAATGCCTAACGCACTAAATAAATTCCACATTTTTGTACCTGTAAATGATTCACTCGCTGAAGAATAAACGATAATTTTGTGAACAAAGGAGAATTTTATATAGCATAACAGAGAGTTCAGAGAACATGTATATTTACCGGTACATTGTTCAACCAGGAGTGTTTACTTTATTTCATATCGTGGCAGACCTACACGTACAGTAATTACTGTGCATACAGTAATCCACGTATATTTTGGTACAAGCTTGCACATGTACACTGTACGTGCAGTTTTTGCATGCATGTTATTACTCGTACACAGATTACATTATAATTTGATGAATATCACATGCACAGTCTCAATGTCAGATGTATTATTCTAATGCTGCGCATCCCAAATCCAGTGTTTGATTTCTGACGTTGATGCAGTCCCATCTACCATGTCTACAGTCTCCCTTGACAACACTGGCTTGTATCCTCTTGCCCTGTATTTGGGTATTGATCATGGACCTGTAGACTTGGGAAGTCCTATGCTAAATTTTCAGGAATTAAGGGTTAATGTTAGAATCCTGTTACCTCCAGTGTACTTACATGTATCTTCTTGTTTCCAAGTTCAAAAGTGTTACATGTAAATATAAGTGAGAGAATAGATATTTCATAAATTGTACTATGCAAACGTGTTCGCGTTCTGGTCAAAGTCGGTCAAACGACGTGATATAATATACTGTGTTCCTAGTAGGGGAAGAGTCGGAAATTTGTGGGTTCTCTCTCTGTGACTGTTCAAACAGTGTGAGGCTTTCATATTTGGAGTCAAGATAAGGGAAATGATCACTACTTTGATTAGCTGTACAGGGCTGGTTAGCGCCTTTGACTTTGCGCCAGATTGAATGACGGGTCTTTCTCGTTACCATTATCTTCCATTCCTACAGCAGACGCTGGTCAGAAACTATCCTACACCCAGCCGCCCTTCTGGTGCTCCATCGCCTACTATGAGAAGAACCTTCGGGTAGGGGAGATGTTCCACGCCTCTCAACCCTCGCTGACCATCGATGGGTTCACCGACCCCTCCAGCTCCGAGAGGTTCTGTCTGGGTCTCCTGTCCAACATCAAGCGGGACCATTCCATTGAGATGACGCGGAGGCACATAGGTATGACAGGTTACGATGCTTAAATGCTGTGGCTCGTAACTATTTGTTGTTCCACTCCCACAAGTAGAACATGGACCAATATAGCGCATCCATGGACGTGTTCAAACTACTGTAAAGCTGAAGGCTGAGTGGTATGCAGGATGTGTGTTTGCTACATTTGTCTGTCTTCTGAGAGTGCAAGTGGGATAAGAAATTTATCTTCGAGTAAGCTGTCGCGTGTGCCGCTTTAGAACTGTGTCATTCTATAAATCAGAGGTCCAAGTTTTTCGTGTCCCTTTCACATCTGATTTTGTAAGTTCAGAACACATTTTCTAATTTCCAAGAGTGGTGAATTAATGCAAATTACCTGCCAAACAAAACGTAATTGTTCAAAATCGATTCCAGTGATATTTCCATGTCCAGTAACGAAGGTCAGATGTAACAGGGACACAAAAATGTCACACTTTTGGACCCCAACAGAATGACCCAACTGACAGCAGCTTCTGACAGCTACGATATGTCATGTAGTGGCGCAAAATACTTATTCTCAGAATAGTGCAGTGCAAGGAGTGTGGTAAGGACAGTTGGGTACACTCGTCAGTGTTTATTGGACACTTGATTACTTTGGATCAACCAATCTGGTTTCAAGTTTGCTTGATAAATATAGTCCGTTGATCTCTGCCTCCATTGCCCTTCTTTCAGAGTGGAGTTCTTTCAGTGTGGGTTTGATGCTTTGCTTTTGACGAGGCCCATACTTCTTAAATTTGTTTCTTGTGCACTAGAAGTTTTGAGATTTTGATTGTAGGAGTTGCTTACCAGATTCTTTGCTAATGGGTTAAAAATTTACATCTCACAGTTTGCTGTCACGTGTCAGTAGAAATGATGCTTGGTGAATCTTCTTACATTATACCGATACGTGAAAGTTCACAGAAGTGCAACATGGCTCTCAATATTAAGGAGATAACACATTCCAGGAACCATTCTATATAAGAATGAAAGAGATTTTTTGGTTGAGCAACTTGGCCAAAATAGGACAGTGGTGGAGAATTACCTCCAGACCTGGCTGTTAATCAAGTCGTCGGAGTTCCTTGACATTGTTTACTCTCTCCAAAATGTTTTGACAGTGGCAGGACCGCTTGTTAATGCAACTTCTTGTGGCGGGGGGGGGAGGAATGTTAACTCACATGGTTATGAATGTCCAAGCAATCCTAACCTGCCCATTGGCAGCTTCCGCAAAACATTTAAAGGAAGCAATCAATGTGGTCGCGGTCGTCTAAATTGGTAATTAAGGCAAGGATGGAACTAGACTCACGTGGCTATGTGTATGTACATGTAGCCATTTGTGGACCATGCACATCTACATTCATTGTACACATTCTATGGCAGGGTTGTGGCCAGTATTTGACATGTCCAGACTTGAACTGAATCACGAAATCATAAAATTGCTCAGGTTTCTGCATTTAGATATGTCTGCATGACAGAAGTTGAAACATTCTGCCGGCTGTCCGGAGGTGCCCAAACATCCTTCTAGCTAAAGAGTTGATTCAAGCTCCGAGCTTCCACAAGAGTTTATAGGGACCAGACGCTGAATATAATTAAGCTCACCACAGTTTGACTGGTTCTAGAGTGTTTTTGCCGTACAATGTACATATGCTTTGTCCACGAACACTAGGAGACGCTGTGTTACATAGCAACAACATCCCTTGAGGCTGAAACAGTGCACCAGTACTTATTTGCCTACTTGTACATGCACTTGACGCAGCGTAGACATGGAAGCCACCTTTGGATTGAGCAATGGGTAGTTATTGGTAAAACCCACTCAGGTTGAGACTGAAAAACTGCAAGTCATACATAAAGTGGCTCTGACTGGAGTTGAACCTAAGCCTTGGCCACGAGCTTTGTAAGGCTGCCACTCTAACCAGACTGATCCAAATAAGTGACTTGTGCTGGACGTACAAAAACTAATAGCCCCCTCTGACACAGGCCAGTCGTAACAAATCCAGGTCATCTAAAAGGTCTAGAACCCTATCCTTGTCCCCTGTATTTATCAACGTTTGTCTCCCTCTAATCCGTCATCTAATATCAAGCTCCTATCCTGTTTTCATGAGGTTTCAGAATTCACTCCAACACCCCCCCTTCCTTGTGTCTCCTCCCTCTCACGACCCGCACTTGAACTCCAAATAAACCTTTCACCGTCTCCCACAGAAGTCCCCGGTCTTAAGTGTTTATCCCTCCGGTTCTAGTGAGCTCAATGCCAAGATCTGTGTCTTCTTTTTAACTACTCTTCCTACACCGAATAAGGGAAAGAAATAAGAGTGGTCAGATTGGAGCAATAGCAGGTATTTTCTTCATCTGTTCAATCAAGCTGTGGTCAGGGAAGGGGGGGGAGTGTCTTGAAAACAGGAAGTTCCCTCACATTTAATTTGATATTTGAGTCTTGGCTGAGCTTTGTACATACATGTACTTGTCCCACTCCTGACCTAGACATGATGCGTCCTTGGAAGAAATCAATGCAAGAATACCTTTTCCAAAAGAAAAAAGCGTGCGAGTCGAAATGAATTAGTCCGCCTGTCCGTTTGAATTAATCACAGATTGACAACTCTGCCGTGTCTGTACATGCACTATCGAATGCCAGGGTAGCTGTTGTATGGGACTTGTTATCCAAAACATTAACACATGGACTCAAATATCACCCTCATTAAAAAAAGTCTTCCCCCTACAAACTAACAGACTAATTCAATTTTGAATTTTAACATCTTGTCTTGGATCCCAGCTTGTCTCTGTGTTTGGCTCATCTCTGCTGGCTCAGTAGATTTGGTTAGCATGATCCTTCAAGATCCTGTGAAGGAAATGGTTTATGGTTTACGTCATTCCGTAGCATTACATTTCTCCGTGGAGATACAAGGAAAAAAAAGAGGTTTTTTAAAATTTCTTGCACATCTTTTGATCTAGCACCCCTCCCAACAGGACAGAGAAGCCCCCAAGTAACGGGAATGTTTATGCTGCATTCACACCTTGATTTTTTAAACTGTATTTTTTTTTTTGGTGTAAAGGTCCTGCCCAGTCATTCCATTGTTTCGTAGCATCAGCAATTTCCCCTGCAGAAAGGCTTGTTTAACTTTCAGTGAAATGAAAGTTTACATGAAGCCTGACCTGAGCCTGGATCTGTTTTTGTTTTGATTGAGAGAAGTGGGAGACGTTGTTTTCTTTTGGGCACCAGACAGGAAACCACGTCCTCTACCTGCTTGCTGTCAAATGTAGATATTTGTGAACTATATCATTGGGCGAAGAACAGGGAAAAGATTTCATGCATTGCACAATTGAAAAAAATATACCTAGAAAATGTTTGTTGCTGTTACTTGTGCTTTGAAACTTTCTCTTTTGAAAGTTCATTTGTGGTGGTTGAGAATCACTGAGGAATATTTCCCTTTTTTCCATCCTTTTGTCTTTCTGTCTTCTCTCTAACAGGCAAAGGAGTACGACTGTATTACATAGGAGGTGAAGTTTTCGCTGAATGCCTGAGCGACAGCAGCATCTTTGTACAAAGTCCGATCTGCAATGTCCGATATGGCTGGCATCCTGCCACGGTCTGTAAAATACCACCCGGTAAGTTCATCAGTTCGGGGAAAAAAAAAGTTCGACTGTCATAGAACACCTCGACAACTTCCTCCTGGTGATTGGAACTCAATCTGCACTGTGTCAGTACTTCTGTGGTGATGATAACTGCTGTAGTTTATATGTGTCAGTCTGACGATGGCATCAGAGTTACAAGGTATTTCAGACAGCTACATATACGTGGCTTATGAGACCCTATTCTTAAAGTAATCTAAATGGTATTCTTTTTCTAAAACATAGAACCGCTGTGAAATTACAGGCTTTTTTCCAGGAGCATTCAAATTTCAGAGTCTTATTTTGGCGACCTTCCAATGTGTGGTTGGGGGCCACATTTGGTCTTCTGTACGGGCGAGGTTGAAGTGGCATTGTGTCTGGAAACTGTTATCTGAGTCTTGACCTTTGACCTTGACGGGATTTGGACTTCACCTTTTTGGACTTTCACCGTGAAATGTGATTTCACGTCTTCTAGAGTCATAGTCTGCCAGGAGGTTTTGTAAGATTGTGTAGGATTAAGGAAGTCCAGCTCAGACATAGGTTTTTCTCATGCACCTGTGGCTTGAGATATAAGGCCTCAGATTCTTGAGCATTGCGGGGTTTTGGAGGATTTGGGACATTTCAAGTCAAAAGTGCCCTGGAAGTTACGGCTGACTTTTAGATAGCTTTTCAGAGATGATCAAGAATTTCTACTCATATGGTATTTCAATGACGAGCGCTGCCGAGGAGAGATAAAATCATTTTGACACCTTTGTTGGAGCACTAGTTGTGTCTTTAATTTGATTAAGTGTCTCACACATTCGACGGCACGACTGATACGCTTGCAGCAGTTTGTTTGCAGTAACAGTCCTCAGTCCCAGATGTGAACCGTCACCAGCTTTACGAGCGTTTCCCCTAGGTGAATTTCCGCATTGCAACACGAAGCCGCCCTCCTTGATGCACAGCACAGGCTGTTAAAGGTGCGATCTCAGACAAGTCTGGAACAGGTTGCCAAAATTGTCTTCCCCCAAACCTGTTTGTAATGTGAAGTTGAGGAAACCCAGTTTCAGACAATGGTTATATTTTATCGCAGGTCGTGTAGGTTGGAAGTAGCCTCATTATAAAGGTCGGTGCAGTGCAATCATTTTACTACAGCCCTCGTAACTGCACCATTATGTTTCAGTTAACCTTCTTTACAATTTTTCCTTTGCTATTTTAATTTGTATTTTGGAGCTTTTATTGGTTTTTATACTGAAGCAGATATCTGTTTTCTTGAACAAATCTGTGATGTCATCCCCGGTATCAAACCTCAATGTCGCATTGATTTTGGGAAAAAACGAAACAAAACTGCTGGACTGTTTTATATTTTGCAGTCGTAAATTTCCAAAGTATACTTTTCAGTGCCCTTAAACACAAGTCCATTCAAACAGTTCATGCATTGAAGAAACAGATAAAGAGGCACACAGAAAGCGGCAAACATCCTCCATCTTAACCGCCTCCAAATCCCCTCAAATCCATCACCTGGTTGGGCAATATTTCAACAGAATTTGTGACTTTAAGAGCCCAGTCAGTTTCTTGATGCGGTGTCATGATGTCTCAAATGTGAAGAAAAGTCAAGTGCCGGCTACAGAACAGCGTGTCTTGAGGGATTTGGAAAGCAGAAATGTTTGAAAAAGAGTCAAGAAATTGGGAAACTCTTGTCCTTGAACCAGACTAAGAAGATTCGGACACTGGAAGTCAAAACTTTTTGTGAGAACTTGGTACCCCCCCTTCCACTCCCTAATGATCACATGTTATGTGCTGAGTTGCCTATCCTCATGATTGGAGAAGGATGTCTTGCGTTCATTCATCTAAGACAAGATCCCTTTCACAGGAGCAACGACATCCGGAGACAGACTGAGAGTCTTGATCAGCAGTTCCTTGTCTTCAGGATGCCCTCTGGGAATTGGGGAGACATTCTGACTTCCCGTCTTGTTGTTACCATGACAATTAGTCAATATTTTCCCCCCTTTTTCGCCGGGGTGCCCCTGTTTGTTAAGGTTTGTTTTTTGGTTTTTTAAATCAGCAAGAACAGCAAAACTAAGAAATTCTAATTTATTTTGTGGCCATCTGTTCGACTGTAGTGTTGACAGTATTTACTGAAAATCCAACGTAGGTGAACCAACTTTATAATTTTCTTTTTGTTTAATGTATGTTTATTTTTACTCTGTTGTTTATAATTATAAACCTACATGTCAGTGCCACTAGGCTGGGTGTATTGTTGGAAGAGTCACCAACGGACGAGCATGTGTTGCTGGATTACATAGTCGGCACATAATTTATTTAACTTGCAGCATGCTGTTGGCCAAAACGTCAACATGATATAAAAACACGCCCAAAACAAAAACAAACTCTCTTGACGGGAAGCCATGCTCAGCGCCCGTTTACTGCCTGTACATGCTCATGTAGAGGTATGATTGCCCATGTCCATTTTTTTTCAGCTTCCAACATTAATGGATGAGAGACTCTTCTGATAGATACTTGTCCTTGTGTAGCTCAAGTTTGTTCCTGGAAGACATGCAGCCACATGCAAGTCTCCAATCTTGGAATTCCCCCGAGGCCATCCAATCAGGCTCTGATTATTATGTGAATCCTGGTTTCGGGTAATTTGTCATTTCCCTGTCGTCTTCCTCGTTGGAAAGGAAAAAAAAGGAAAGAATGGAGTTGTCACCACATGTATATTGATTGAACAGAAAATCCAAATGCTGCTCAATGAGTAAATAAATAAAAACACCACAAAGAAACCACATCTTCATTGTGAACGGTACGTGTATCTTACTAGAAAAAAGTTTTACTTCAAGAAGATAAAATTTCCCTTCAGGAAGGGATTAAAGCTTCTAGCTCCGTTTATTTTGGACATTCCAGTCAGTTATTAGATCGTGGCAGCCTTTCTGTTATTGATTTTGGAAAATTATACATTTGCTGTCAGATGGAGAGAAGGTCACCCCTTTTGTCCATAATCGTACTTGAGTGCTGAGGCATTTACTTCTTTCCGTCACATTAAATTGGATATCCTGTTCTACTTAGCGGTGCCTGGTTATGTTTTGTGTTGTGTCTGGTGTATGGGTCAAGCAGTATGTTTAGAAAGTTCAGCCCCTAGTTTTCCCCACAATTCTGTCGACTTTGTAAGGAGAATTAGATGGCTACAGTTCTCTGATATTTTCGCTCCTGTTTGGAAGAGTTCATTATATTTTACGGCAGCTGTAAACTGTTATGGATATGAAGTGATTTGTCAAAAAGTACATGTACATATACATGTAACTGACAGTCAGTTTCCTGAACGATTTGAAGACCAACGAACATCCTCTGATTCCCAGTATCTTGGGGGGAGGGGACCTGTAGGACATTTTGTTTTTGTGTTTGGACAGGAGTGCATGACGGTTTGTTGGTTGGTTTGAGGTATTTCCTTCTGTGCTAGCAGCACCACGGCCAGGCATTTTTCGAGCTCAGTATGTCATACGCAGACTCCGGATATGCTGCATAGACTCTTCCATCGGATGCAGTAATTGGATACTTTGAAGTTAAAAGTACGTGACCCGTGCAGCCGCGCCACACTGCACCACACTGCGCAGTGATCAATTATCACCCTGTGTGTTCCGTTTCCTCCAAGCCACGGTTGCAGTCACATCATTGGAGACATGGGTAGAGAAGCTAGGGCATGCTCAGTTATCATAGGGATCTGCATGATTTACACTGTCCAGGATTCAACACTTTCCTTTGCCTGCTAGAAGACAACATGTATGTCCACTTTGTCTGATTAAGTTGGATGAGAACTTGCGGCCCCCAAACTACCAAAGCCCCAATTCTGCCCTTCAAGCTGTGCTGTAATTAAGCCAACAAAACCGTCTTTCATTCAGTGCTTTCTTTACAGAGTGATAATTAGCCGTGTCTGAAAGGTATGGCTATGGCTGGTGATAATACATACATGTACATACCTTTAATAGGAAGCCGCTGGCTAACTTCTAATGCCACTTCCCAAGGACAAATGTTTATCTCCATACCAAAGCCAGTCACAAGGATCCTGTTTCATAGATATGCTAAGCAAATGATGTTGCACTGCATGACCCTCTATCTTCTACAGCATTCCATTCGTAGAAAGGGCATTGCTAACGAATGGAGTAGGCGCCCCAGTTGGTTCATGCACTGATTTTGTGCTGTCTTTGACACACTAATGGTGCATGTGACTTGTGCACTCTGGTACTCTACGAGAGAGAGAATAAATATGTGCTTAAGCAGTCTTAAAAGGTGTCTTTTCTTTAAGACGGGCTTAGGAGAATGAACGCTGATAATGCCCCAACTGAAGGCAAGGGACATTACCAAAATCTGTTCCCCTGAGCTGGTCTTAACCACATATCATTTCCATTCAACTACATTCATAAGTCAAAATAAGTTTACAAATTATGAATTTCCAACGCTGTTGTTTACTTGTTTGTTTTTTTAACTCACCTTTAGCCATGTTATGGTATGTCTCTCTCATGAGTTGTCACAAACAGTCTCCTTATATGGAGATTGGGGCACATGTTGTATGTATTACATGAGATTGGCACACAGCCAGCCAATGCTTCATGAGCCCTGTAAGACCGGCTGTGTGATGGGCTTGTGACCATTAGGAAAGGCTTAACTGTCTTGGGTATTTATGAATCAGATACATCATTTCAGCTTCATGAGTATCTCTTCATGCTGATTCCAGTAGATTAATCCAGGCTGTTGAAAGTTCAACTATTGCAGATAGTGTTTATGAAGTCATTGAACAGCCAGAACTTTAGGATGTCTGTAACTCTGGGATGTTAGTTAATGACAAGCCATGTTTCACCAATATTAAGAGTTACACTTAATCATACATTTCCCTAGCATTTTCTGGAAAGACTAATTTACGGTCTTAGCATTTTCCGGACGTTCGCATCGAATTTTAACTTGATTTCCGCATGTCAGGCCTTATTCACGCTGTTGATACATGACAACATGCATGTTTATCAACACAAACATTACTGAAGTTTACAGCCTGGCTGATGGCTCTGTTTCGTCCATTTACAACAAGCAGAATTGCATGCAGTTTTGCCTCTTTATGGCGCAAAGTTGTTGTAAGAACTGTGTCTGTTTCAATCACATAAACTGTTCCACGTAACAATTTTTCTGGAACTCTGTACTCTTCTCCAATGCATGAAAACTTGTTTACATCCCTAGTCAGTTAAATCATAGTGCAAGCTTATCTGAACAACTCAGGGCGCTGTTGCTGTGATGTCATCTAGGGAAGATACATTTCAGTGCATAGGCTTTTCTGTTCAAACTGTGAGCCCAGAATTTAATTACTGAAGACATATCCGACAAAGGAATTGATGCTTGCTTGTTGCTATGCACGTAGACAACGAATCGGCAAGGAAGAGAAAATCTAGTCCAGCAAATGGACAAAAATGCAAAACTTTTTGTACACAAACCAATGTAACATTGAGGTTTCTTCCTGAGATGACATCACAGTTTTGCTCATGGAAATATCCATGAAAATGAAAATCAAAAAGGCAGTAAAATACCCTTTCAAAAAGCGTGGAAAAAAAGTCAAAAAGAGGTTAGCCGAGACACAAAGGTGCATTTTGAAGTTTTATAACAATTACCCTTTAAGAGCTTGTCGTTATACGGTGTATTCTCAAAGATTTCAAATAAGTTTCTTGGACAATGCCAGGTATAAACCTTGTGCTAGGCTGACCACTTGATATCACCTCAAGGAATCTGATTTTATGCCTGCCATCAGGAGGATCATGACTTGAATGAATGGGGCTGCTGATGAACCATTGCCGGACCAAGACAGAATTTCTTGGTTGACCATGACTGGACTAGGTCTAGTCAGTTGTTCGGAACCAACTCGGACCTGATGTTATCACTTGTGTTCGGTGTTTCAAATTGCATAATGCTTTATATAGCGGGGAGCCAGGAGAGTAAGGTTTTCTGATGACAAAACTGAAGCTTTGAGGTTTATGTATGCCCGTGGTACGGTAAATTTGCATCTTTCTGGATCTGCAGTTGGTTCATCTGTCTTGGTCATAATTGTCATAACTCACAACCCAATGTGACAAAAACAAAGAAGAAAGTCAGTAAAACCGTTCAAATTTGATTTAAACATCCATGGCTTTGTGTAATAGATGCCTGTGGTTATGTCACGTGTACAAGTGTGGTAATTAATTTATGCTTTGTTTCAACCTGTTGGAAAGCAGACCGTAACAGGTGGGTAGGATAAAGAGAAATCTTGCAGGGGACACGTAAGGGATAAATGTCAAGGTTGCTCCCTTCCATGTTTTGTCTGACCATCATGTGATGGACATTGGTAGACAACTCTATTCTGTGAGGGCGCTCTATCACAGTAATTACCCTGCCGTAATGTTATAGTGGGTATTCAGACAGTCTTCTTAATGTTACTTGTAGTTCTCAGTGCCCAGAACCGGTGGCATTCAGAGCAAATAAGCTTCATATTGTCCCCCTTCTTCATCATCTACTCGTTAAAACATCCTTTTTCTGTCTTTTCAAGAGTTCCCGGCAGATGACGTTCTGTAACAGGTGGTTGTGGTGCAAGCAAGAACTGACTTAGAGTGCGGGACATCAGATGAAGGAGTTGTTTAGCCAATTGCCTTCGGGGATTTGTTATCGCTAATTTCAGGCGACAGTCATGTCTGTCCTGCGGAACCTCACAAACAGCCTGCTTCAAATTGTTGACATGTCGGCCCCAGTTAAACAGAACTTTAAAATTCTGCAAATAAGTCTTTGAGTCAGTGTAGGGCATAACAATGGAACCTGTACTAGTGTAGCATGAGATGGACAAAGTACTGTTTTCTTTGAAGGGTTCTGTAAAGTTTGATGGTCACGTTTCTCGTACCTTCCATTTGTTTCAGGCTGTAACCTGAAGATTTTCGACAACCGAGAGTTTGCAGCCCAGCTGTCCCAATCTGTCAGCCAGGGATTTGAGGCCGTCTACCAGCTAACCCATGTCTGCACGATACGCATGAGCTTCGTCAAGGGCTGGGGTGTGGACTACCGACGTCAGACGGTCACCAGTACCCCTTGCTGGATTGAGGTGCATCTGAATGGCCCCTTACAGTGGCTTGACAGGGTCTTAAGACAGATGTCGTCACCCAATGAGAAGTGCTCTAGTAGCTCTTAAAATGACGGTAACACCTCCATTAGTAATGTTGTCACAAGATCCAACACTTTTCAGGATATGCACATCTGACAAAGTCGTGGCACAGCTCGGGGTGCTGATTTTATGGAGAGGCATTCACTGTGACCGGTTCTAAAGTTTTTTTGGTGGTTTCAAATATCATTGACCTGAAAATTATTGACCTGAAACCACCACCAAAAAACAGAAATATCTACAATCAGCAACCCTCTTTCTGAATCAAGGGACTACACTTTCAATCCTGAGAAGTCGGGACATCTTACCAATGGACCACACCGTCGTTGTGTTTTGTGTATCTGTGTATAGTTTTACGAAAAATGTACATAGAAACTCACTGATTAGTGATAGTGCGGGCCACACTAAAAGCCAACACCATTTTGATGTAAAAGTTTACAGTAGCCCAAAAAAAAAACAAACTGTGTTATAGTGTACAAAGTGCATGCTGAAATTAATAAAAGTCAAAACGGCTGTGGGGAAACAAGTCATAAATCCTGCTTGGTCTTATTTTTGTTTACATTTGAATGCAATCAAAAGTGTAAATACAAAATAGATTGAGAAAAAATAGAGAGCTATTTTGCTAAAACATTTTCCATTCATAAATAACTAATCTATGCTTTTGTGCAAAGTTAGATATCGGTGTATGATGTGCAACACTGTTGATTGGTTCTTTAATTATCAAGTTTGACCAGGGCATTTCGAGCTTTGCTGCTTGAAAATTAAACAGCTTTGAAACTTTTTTTCAGAATCTGCACTAATGGATGCAAACCAAAAGCTGTGCTAACATGTACGTTTTGTTCCACCAGCACACAGATTTATTACAAAACATGTCTTGACAATTAGTTGTGGACTTCATCTTTATTTATCTGTGTTTTTTTAATTGCTGCTATGTAATATTAAATACCTTAAGTCCTATGGAACAAAGTTGTGATTTCTTCTCCAGAACGCTGTCTGATTCCTGAAAGCTAAATTTTCTGTCCAAAGTGTCAAGGCACTTTCTAATGTTCTACTAATGCAACACAAACTTGGTAGAACTCACCCAGAAATGAATTGACTGATGTATTTTATCTTGCCCAAACTTGAAGGAGAGGGTCCATTCCATAGGTTTTTTCAATTAAAAAAATGTTCCTTTCAACATGTTTTACATGATGATTTGATTATATCATTATAGTTGCTTTTGTAACCTTTGATACCTGCTTTTTGGTAGTTGTTAATCTTGCCATTTATAATTCAATTTAATTGTATGAGGCCAACTTTACTACTTCCGTACTTGAACATGTAGATTTGGTTTTACACAGGATTTCTTCTGAGCAGAAGTAATTTAAAAAGGTAAATCAAAATGTAACTTTTGCAAGCTCTTAGGTGAGAAATGGTTGATCACTTGTTAATGTCATAAGCCTTGCAAGTTTAAAGCTGAAAGCTTGATTATAAATGTTTATGCGGCAACACGCTGTCCATATTTATCTGTTCAACCAGTCTTTTGTGTACATGGTGTTCTCAGTTGCAAGTTTGCCCACGAGTTTATTGCCCCATTGGTTTTTTGTTTTTAGGCTCCGTGCACAACTTGATATACTCAAGAGGGTACTCTACAGCCTAGCTACCAGTATGGAGGCAGGAACCAGTCTAACAGGGGCCATGTTTTCTTTTTTTCTTGACCCTCAACCAGAAACATGTTTATGGTGTCAAAGCAATAACCAGGAACAAGTTTTAGGTGGCGCACAAAACTGGTGTCATCTGACAGGGACAAAACACACATACTGTACAAGGAAGCATACTGTGTGTAATGTTGATGAATGTAAAGATTCTTACCAGGGCTGCTTGCTCCTTTCTAGAAGGTCTTGAAGAAAATACGTCTTGGTTTTTACAGCACGTAACAACAAACGTTGGAGTGTAGAATTCACTTATATGAGAAACAGCAAAAAATTGTCCGCTTATTTTAGCCATTTTCAACCAGCGCTGAACCTGGTTACAACTTTCATTTCTCGTTAGGCTGGAGCAGTGATGTTTCACAGGCATGGAACAGTGATGTCTCACGGGCATAAAACAGTTGTGACTGCCCTCAACTAATGACGGAAGCCTTATCATGCGCATGGTTCCAGTTACCAAGCCACTTCCCTGAGCATCCTCTAGCCTCATTTGTATGAGGACATTAGTTAATTCAGCAATTCACTCACCCATCACAAGCCAGAGAAATTCCTGTAGACGCACTGCCGTTTTTTTTTTTAATGCCAAGGCAGGCCTTGTGCTTAAAGCCTGCATATCTCTGTCACCAACTTTGGATATATCCATGTATTCTTTCAATTTGTATTCACTTAAACCAGGAGTCACACTTACCCCAACATGGCTGGCAATTTTTTTTTCAGTTGTATATTGTTAGATTTCTCCGTGGTGTTGCCAGCTAGATTTTCATCAGGAATGCACGCACACAACATGTACATGTATGATGTCGGGTTTGGTTTAATGTACAGCCGTGCAGGCAAGTGCATAGAGTCAATTTGGCTACCCCGTAAAGTGCAGTCTGAGGAGGGAATATCATGGTACGCATGAAACATCCCATGATGCCTTGAGGCAAGGTACACAATTTTCAGCCTTTGTTAAATCACCAGAGAGGCAAGTTGGGCAGACTCTTTGGGGTTAGAAGGCTTCTCTACATAGCCTTACCACTGAATCTGTCGTCGTTACAGTGTGTCAAATATTTTCTTATTTTGTGTCACATGGCATTTTTCCCTTGTTTCTGAGGTTGATACAGGTTCCAAGTTGCTAATTGGTTCTTTGATGCCAAGTTGTCATTTCTAGCCATAATCAGTTATGTTAACACTTTGTTTATAAACTTTTAATAATGTAAAAATTTTACTTGAAAGTAATGCTTGAACTGCCAAGGAGAGTCTTGAAGGAGGGCAGAAATAAACCAGTGACTGAAAGTAATCAGTTAATTGCTGAAGAGCCCAAGAGGAATAATGGATATGGGTCATTTAGTAAATTTAGGGTCCAAAGCTGTGATATTTTTGGGTCCATTATACTCAACCTGTGGAAATTGACGTGGAAGTTTCATTAAGATTGACCTGAAGGTGCATTTACTTCTTTGGCAGGTATGTGTTTTGCTTTTTTTAATCACTCTTTAAATTTAAAGACCGAGTTCCAACCTTGCAAAGGTCTTTGTCAGATGTGAGAGGGATATGGAAAACTTTGGACTCCAAATTTAGAGAATGACCCATATCAAGTTCTTCTATACTTCCAGTGCATTGCAGCTTCTGTATTTAAAAAGAGATGTCTACCTATATTTAAATTCTATCTGATTGTAATATCCACCGTACCAAAAACACTACACGAAACATATTGATATTTTGGGAATTCTACAATGTTGATTTTTTTATTTAATGTGGTGTTTTTTTTCTGTGCAGAGTTTTGATGTGGAAAATGTGTATGCTTTTAAAAATTTATTGAGCAGCGGGCTCCGTGCTTATGCCGTAGATTACTGTATGAAGGCTTTTCATTGGTCAGTGAGACATGGCAGGCATTTGCACACGAATGGGCAGTCACAAAGTGGTTTGGACTTAGAGGATCATCGTCATGTGACCAGTTTTCAACAGAACGTGCACAAAATGAGGCATCTTAGTTGAGTATGGTTGCAGAGCACCGAGTCCATTGCTACACATGCCTTGGTTTCATAAAATGCGTGCTGAGAGTTTTTGAAAGGGAACAAAAGAAAGAAAAGCTACATGTCAGTGAACAAATTGATACTGTACAGATCATGCTGTGAGGAACCCGAGTTTTACCTCTGTTAGGAATCAGAACTTATAAATTTTGAAACGTTTTTGGAGAAACAGTCAAAAGTGATGATGAATCTACATGTACATGTACCTGTTATCAAACTAAATGTCCTTAAACTAAAACAGGGAATTTCACTTTTCAAAAACATACTGCACCATTCTAAACTCTGAGCATTTTTATTTTGTATTAGAAATAGGCAGCCAAACAGCTATCTTTTGTATTAACCTGTCAACACACAAACTGCAGTTAATAAACTGCATGCATTTTACCTTTTGTGGTAATATGTATGCTTTTCAAAGTCAAGCTGTTGTTATAGTGGACATTTGTTTTTGTCAAAAAATGTGGAGTATATGGATGAAGTAAGCCTAGTTGAAGTATGGGCAAATTTGGTATCGCTACTCTGAGAACCTCCTGGCTGTTTCATACCAGTGATAGAGGCTTTGCGTGGTAGCCATCTTGCAGGGAAGTTCTTTTGTTCCAAAGGGAAACCTTTGTGCATTCCCTGAGGTACAAAAGCACTGGTCTGCAAAATGGCTGCCATGCAAACCTTCTATGTAGGTATCATTTTCAGATGGACGAACCTTACTGAAGAACTCATTGGTGATGACTGGCACTGTGGCAGGTGCCACGTTACATTTCCAATTTCTGTGCTTGATTTTGATCAAATCATTACCAAAAAATTTCTAAAATTACCCTCTCAAAAAAGCCAAATAAAAATTATCAACCCAATGATTTTTTAAATATTGATAGACTTCAAATGCAATAATAGGGGCCTACTTTCAAAATCTAACCAATCTCCCCCCCAAAAAAACATTCACCCTACCAGCTGTAAGAAGTTTTTGAAACTAAATTGACAAGACTGACATCCAGGAATTACTGCTTGTAAACAAAGTACTCAAAAGAATGGAACAAGAGATCAGAATTGTTTTGTCATGGTCTATATGGGCTACCGTTAGAACAAGATGCATTACAGTTGTGTGAAAATCATTCAGGTGTTGTCACATAACTTAAATGCCTCTTGTTCTAACGGTAGCCCATATGGACCATGACAAAAACCTTCTGTTCTCTGGTTCCTTTCTTTTGAGTAGTGTATTTTAAGAAGTAGAGAACTGAAGGAACAAGCTAATTAACTTCTTTATAATGAAATGGAAACTTTAATGGCAATGTACTTCACAGATAATGCAATTTAAATTAAAAGACCTTAAAAGTAAAACCTATGAAAGACCAACATAGCCCAAGTGAAAGGCTCTGTTCCGATATCAAAGGCCAACTATTTCATGCAAGTTAAAAACAAAAATAAAACTTTCATGGGGAGCTTAATAAATTACTTAGGTTTGAACATTCAAAATGAACTCTCGGTCCTTCAAGAACGAATTCTTCACTGCACACACATACACAAAATAATGTTCTCCAAACTCAAAGGATACTTAAGACAATCTCTACAACCCAGACCACTGCAAATAAAATAATTCCAAAAAAGAAGGGAGAAATATTTGGTGTGCATTGGTGGGTCATCTGATTAGTCTGGTTGCCTCATCACCAGTAGCTCAGGAACGTTATAGTACCAGGTGATTCCGGAGAGGCAGTAACCAGACGAGTATCATTCATCCACATGGTGTGCACCAGACTAGGGTTCCGATGAACCACATTCAGCAGGTCCCCGTTCTGGGCATCCCAGACGACGATCTTTTTCCGATCACCCCCTGACACCAACCTGTTGCCACGGAGACACATGCAACGCACAACTCCAATGTGCTCACACATGACCCTCAGAAGTTCGCCCATGTGGGTCCACAGTCGTATCGTGCTGTCTGCTGACCCAGACGCAATGACGTTCTCATTGAAACACAGGCAGTAAACGTCCCCGTCATGGCCCTCCAATGTCCTCAGACATTCCCCGGATTGTGTGCTCCAAACCTTCACCAGGCCGTCCCCGCTACCGCTCACCACAATTCTCTGGTCAAACTGACAGCAGAAGACAACCTCGGTGTGCCCCTGCAAGGTATGTAGGCATTCCCCCGTGTGACTGATGTCCCACAACCTCAAGGTCGTATCCCAGGACGTGCTCACAACCAGGTTACCATGGCAGCTCAGAGCCTCAATGTCGTCACTGTGTCCTCGGAGTATCTGGGTACAGATTCCTTGAGATAGGGACCACACCCTTATGGATCGGTCATCAGATGCACTGACGACAGTCTCTCCTTCAACACATAGACACTGCACTCCTCGTTCATGGCCACTGAATACCATTTGACACAGCCCACTCTTTACATCGTAGACGCGGACAAACCCATCCGAGCAACCAGTCATAACAATGCCGGTTTTCAGTCTCAAGCAGGTTACTGAGTCTGTGTGCCCTTCCAGCACGCGAGTACACTCGCCGCTTACAAGGTCCCACACACGAACCGTCTTATCCACGCTTCCACTGACCAGCACGGTTCCGTCGCAATCCAAGCACGTCACTTTCTCCCGGTGTCCCCGCATCACTGGTGCTACCCGGTAACGCCCTCGACACCAGTTGCGCTCCAGGTGCCACGCCCTCATGTACACCTGCTTCCATTTGCAGGTTGGTGACAGGACTTGGTGCCCGGTCAAGATGTTGTCAAAGTGGAATGTTGGGGTGGTGTGGGAGATGTCTGTGAATGATGGACTGAGGGGCACTTCTCGGCTCAGGTTGGTGACAGTGCCATAACGCTGCCATCCTCTCTCTTTACAGAGCCCAGACCAAAGCGCATCACTGTTTGCCCTCTCTCTCCATGCCCGTGAGCACAAGGCAGCCCGGCACAGGTCCTTGGCAGACAGAAAACCAAATATTCTTTCTGTCAGTTCTTCTGGAAGCAGAGCTGGGATTTCCAGCGTCAGGAATGCCTTCACGTCATCAATCAACGACGCCAACAATACTTTCTCTTCATTCTCGCCCATCGTCAAGTTCTGTTACATGGCAGTGATGTTGCCTGCTTGACATCTTTTCGCACAGTCCCCAAGGTCTAGCTGCCCTGAAATTCAAAATTAAAATATCAAGTGATTTACAGTCAGAGTTAAGGTTTCCCAGAATCCTTGATTCGGCACAAGTTCTAAGGCCAGAGAGTGTACTAAGTGATTAACAAATCCGAATGTGAGGTTTCAACTTGTGCGGTGATTGACACATACTATTACGAAGACACAAGCCGACCCATAGTAGAGTCCCCTGACATATGGCGCACTTCAACTTTCACTTGACTTTGCTTCTACAGTTTGCCGAACCTCTTTTTGAAAAACTTCAAAAACTTCATAGTATATGAACAATTTCAGTATCATGAAATTTCACAGGAAATTCAAAAATGGCAGTGTCCAGAAATTGGGCAAGAATTCAGCTGAAAGTTCTCTAATGTAGTGCACTTGAAAAAGTCTCAGAAAATCCCACATTTGTAAACATTTAACAAGTTTTTTAAAGTTGATATATTTTGAAAAATGTTTGTCACTGATTACTGTCTCTACTTCTAACCATAAATTTGTTAGAAAGTGCTCTTGTAAGTATTTTGGAAGCATTTTAAAGGGCTCATTTTGCACTTTGCTTAAGAAAAAAAATCAGAAAATCAGGCAAAAATAAAAATGCATCAGAACTTTGAAGCTGGTGATTAAAACAGAGATTTTTCAATTGAATTAGGAGTTAATGAATTTCACCCATCATGAAATCTGGTAAGGCACATGAGGCCAAAAATCAAAGAGTGCCACGTTAGGGGCCATGCCACGTTACCTATACATCAACAACATAGGGCTCTGCATGTACATAAGGAACGTACGGGCATGACACAGGTAGGCCTACTGTTGGTTGATGACTTGATGTGTACGTTATTTTTTTAACACAACAGCAAGGAACATGATCAAGGAGACAACTTGTCTTTCATTTCATTTATCATTTTGTAAGAAAAAATTTACAATGGATAAAACAAAATAAATAAAAATACTATGTACAATATAGAAAAAAAGACATAGTTTAAATATAGGGTCAAACCTTATAAAAAGACTAAATCCTAGCTCCAAAATGGTTGCATGCCCCTGTGGGTTTACTATAAAGTGAACTAAATCACTGTCAAGTAGTTTTCCCATGGCATGACTAAGAACTCTTATTTGCAAAATCAAAAACATTATAGCAGAGTCACACTAAAACACATAATCCCATGGGCGAAAAGAATAACCCTACAAAAATTGTACAAAATCCTGGAAGTTATGTAATAATTTTATGTACTGCACCATCTTAACAAGAAAAGCAAGGAAAACACCCCCAAGATAACTAAAAATCTAAAAACAAAACCCCCTCAAAACAAACTCCAAAGAGACGATCAACAGAAACAAATGACCCCACAGACAGAAAAACACAGCATCCGAAACATACCAGTAGCTAAAACAAAACAAAAAAAAACCAAAAAAAAGCAAGACAAAGGGGATCAGTAAGATGTTTAGCAACAATTTTTCGAGACATTTTACTAACTACGGAACAAAGGGAGACTGGTCTATAATTAGACGGATTGTGAGGAGTCCCAGTCTTATGAATAGGAACAACATTGGCGAATTTCCATTCTTCTTTCAAGATGCAAAGAACATATTTTCCCAACGACTGCATTTTAATGCAGAAAAAGTTGATAGTTTGTAAACTTTGCATTCATTACCTGCAGGAAAGATCCGTGTCTGCAGAACTTTTTGCAGAAACCTTTGCTTTAGTGCCGGTCGCGATGTGCATGTACAGTACGTTAGGCGCTTGCTATACTTTTCACTTAGTTTCATAATAAGCGCCCTCTCGAGAGGAAGGCTCGAACACAGATAAGCCGTTACGGTGTCCGAAACGGGCTTCCAGAGCTACGGCTAGGTCTATTGTCTGCGCGTCTCCACACATTTCCAATGGAGTAAAGACGTAGACCTTGCTCTAGACAAGAGATTCATATGCGGCCGTAATATAAACCATTGATCAATGTATAAACGCATAGCTATAGACCGCCACATCCTATTCAAAACTACAGAGGCTTTTCGTGATCCGCGTGACGGCCGACTAAAATCAAAACTATGGGCAATTTCACCCCCTTGGTAGAGCGAATTTACGCCCAGTTGAAGAATTACTGCCATGAAATTCTAGGAAGCCATTTTGGATTGTGGAAAAAATCCTGTCTATTTACTTAATCAGCTGGCCCATCACGATTCAAAACTATGCGGTGGAAACATTTGAAAGAGGAGATAGCAGTTTGTGTCCTTTCTTCATGCAGTACCGAAGAGCAAAAAACCGGGGGAGCACATATAAACAAATACAGGCAAAGTAAGTGCGTAACTGCGAGTAATGCGCACCGAACGCGCTGCCATCCATCCGTTTCGCCCACTTTTCAAAATCACGGTTGTACGCGCAAGACCGGCGGTCTAGTCTATATGTTTATATGTCTGTGGGCGCCGGGGTGCGAAATTTTTTTCCTAGGATAGTTGGTACACTGTATGCAAATTATGCATTTATATATCGACCAATCCCAAGGTGTCTTTGGTTGTGGCAGGGACTCGAACTCATTATTATGCACACATAGGTAGCATTGTGGTTGTCAGCTTTGGTTGTCAGTGTGACGGCAGAGCTGTGAGTGAATTTAAATCACTAAGGGTTTGCCTTTTTGCTGTTGGGTCACGGTCTTGTATTCAAGTTACATACAACTGGAGTGTTATTTTCGTGCACTGCAGACTTTTGGGATTGCATTCGCCCTCTCAACCATAATTGATGTGTATCTCTCACGTGTACGCACTAACGTTAGTCACGCGGCCTGCGTGCACATGTATTGTAATAGTGTTTACATCTTTCTTTGATATCACCCAGATAAAGAAATCTTGGTTAAAATGTACATCCGCTATTTAGTCGAAAAATTGACCAGAGAAAAAAAAGGTATTAGTTTTTGGTAAAGTACTGTAATTCTATTTGTTAAAAGTGACTCAGTCAACCCCAATGTCTTATTAAAACATGTGAGCAGAAACTAATAAAACGTTTTACACATGAATATGAAATGCTTCAATTGAGTTAATTTTATTCTTCACTAAGACATGATTACATAAACAGTAATTTGCTGACAAGCACCATTCCCAAATATGCAGAAACTCTACCGATCTTAGCCAGTGATTGCATCGACAAGTGCTGATTGTATAAAAATAAAAGTAAATTAAAATGTTAACGCGACGTGACTCAAGATCCGCGTACATGTACATGTGTGGACATGTACATGTGTGGACATGTACATGTACCTTGCATGTACTGTGTATGCATGCGTAATGAGTTCAAGACAAATCCCTGCCACAACCAAAGACGCCTTGTGATTGGTCAATAAACGCATAATTTGCATACAGTGTACCAACTATCCTAGGAAAAAAATTCGTCGCCGGCAGCGTCGAAGGTTCGATCAGCTCTGTGTCGAAGTACTCCCTCAACGGTATAGAAGGGAGAGGCTGGTGGGGCCGTGTGCACACCTTTTTTTAATTAAAAGCAGCTACCACTCTCTTTTCTCCTTTCAACATTAATGGGGTTGAGTTGCATTTTTGGGTGCAAACAAAGAGTGAATCAAATTTTTGCAATTTCTGGGAAGTGATAAATCCCATGATTGATCCCTTTAGATCAAGGCGCAAAACATGGATGGTTACTGTGACCGTGTGCGCGTCATGTGAACGTAGCCAAGGCTAATGGCTTACTTGGTGCAACCTCGACTCCATGGGCTGCCTGCGCGTTCCTTCACTAGATAGCACAATCATTGTGGGAACCAAATGGCTCGGTACGGTTCTCATGCGAGATTGGCCAATCACGCTAACGCACAGAGTATGTTCCAACTGGAACTGCGCCAGGCAAGATTTGAAATAAACATTTCATATCGCTCAACCGAATTGATTGATTCCTAAAAGAAAAGGAGAACGTCATACTAAAAACTCAGGACGCTGCATGCGTCGAGCTAAGCTTGAACGACGTGACTCTCTAAATGTTAAAACGGAAACGTATAAATTTGTACCAGCATAAATAGAGAGAAAACCGGCAACGGCACTTGCAGAAGAATCTTGAGTACCACGAGGCCAACACTTAGTCGCGCCCACTGTGGCTAGCCTTGGTAACCTTAATACTCTTCGATTACTCCTTGCCAGTATTCGGTGTCGAAAGCGATACCAACAAACGGCCAACGCTGCTTGAAAACCATCAAAGGTTATAACTTACCTCTCGCGGGCTGATGGTTTCACCACAGATGTGATATATCGCGCTGTAAATCACATTGGCTGCGATCGGAAATCTCAGTTTCCACTCCGACACGTACAGAATAATTTACTCTTACTGCGTTTGATATCACTTACGGGGTTACTTACTTTTTGAGGAAAGGAAAAAGTCGAAAAAATATGGTTAATT